GGGGCGGGCACCGCTGCCACAGCCAAACTCCGGGAAACCTGGACCTTAACGCCAGGTCGTTCGCACGCTGCTCTAGCAGAGAGTCGCGTCCTCCTCCCTTTCCGCGCAAGGTTTGAGGTTCGGGGCTACAATCTGAGGAGAGCTCGATCCGTGGAGCCATTGGTGCTTTTTGCTAGCTGGGTTGGCTGCCACGAGCTGTAGAAATCCCGACGGGAGGCAGCAGTAGCCTGAAGACATGTTTCTGGGCTCTTTGATCTGCCCTGCCAGGCCTTGCTGCTGAGCCCACGTGGAACCCTGGAGCTCTGGGGTGCGTTTCCGAGCAGATCCAGGCTTGACCTGGAGGTTGTAAGGCGCGGAGCCCTGGCAGTGTGGGTTTGGTTGGGTTTTAATCCTCGCTAGTTTGTTGCCCTTGTTGCTTTGCTTGCCTCTTTTCAAGCCCAGGCTTTCTTTGTGCCGCATACTCCGATAGATTTACTAGTGTTTGTGTTGCCTTATCTTCAATGTGAAACCTCCTGGTGTGAAGAGGAAGTGGGGATGAGAGCGGCTTTAGGGAATGATGGAGTGCCAGGATTAGCTGCACTGAGGCCATGGTTTTCCGAGCCAGCGTGAATAAAAGAAAAGGTTTCACCCACCCCTTGGGCTGCTCATTTTCAACCATGTCAGCACAAGCATTTGCTTGCAGAATCAGACTGGGAAGTTAAACTGAATTTAAAAAGAAACAAAAAGAACTCCAGATCAGCTTCTGAATGTTTTCGCTGGCACTCAAGGGCAGGTGAGGCTGCTGCCAGATTCCATTCCCATGGTCCTGAGGGAAATCGCATCGTTCTCATCCTTAGGCTGGAGGTAGATTATTTTTGAAGTCATTATTGATGTTTAGGAGTGTGACATGGAGCATTTTGACTTTTCTAAAGTTAGGATTGTTGTATTGCTATGAATACAGTGCAATGATAGTTCTGTACACCTTGTACTGCCGTTTTGCTCAAAGCCTCTCCTGCCTGGGAGACCAGCTCAGGATCTGGGTCTTGGATGCTGGTGCCAGTCCTTCCCCTACACAGGTACCCCCTGGTCTAATCCATACCTAAGATCCTGAATCCATACAGCAGCACAAACTCAAAATCCCAGCTCTATCACAGAGGCAGGAAAGCCTTAGTGTTTCCCAGTGTCCAGCACAATGCCTTTATTTACCAAGGCAAACCAAACAAACTTCTTGGATAAGTATCAAACCTTGTTGGTTTAGTGTTTGGTGAGGAGGTGTAGGCTGGCACATCCAAGGGCCCAATTAACAATAGTGCTTGTTCCACAGTGGAAACTGGCCTCTTGGAGTCATATGGTTATGAAGTTGGGAGTTTTCTGAGTTAGGGCTGTCTTTATGTCATCACAAGTTTGGAACTTAAGGGCAGACTCCCAGCTCTGTTCCAGTGAAATTTGTTTGTGAGGTGATTTCCCTCTAAAAGGATGGCTTTGAGCTGGACAAACTCTTTCATTTATGTTGTCATTCAGTTAAGGGACAATCCATCTAATCTAATAACATAAACATTTTCATTGCCTTTATGTATGCAATCACTTTTCTTTAATAGCAGAATTTTAATTACCACCTCATTTCTATTATCCCTTTGATACCAAATTTTATATCAGTAGGGCGACACCAGATATGGACTAAGCCCAAACGAGTTGAAGGAACCAAGTGTCCAACATTAGATTTTAAGAGAACTTCACTGAAACAGGTTACTTTGATTTCTGATGTACTCCATAACACAAATATTGCATGATACATAATTTAACAACATATCAGAAGTCTTCCTGTTGAAGTTCTTAAGCCATAAGGTGTTAAGAAACATGGGTAGCACCTGGAAGTTGGGGGAAGATTAAGCTGTAACAGACTGGCTGCTCAGGTCCAAGAGCCTCCTTGTGTTTCTGGACGGGAAGCTCAGCATAAACGTACTGGGCTCTGCCCTGGAGTAGTATCTTTTGGTACTAAAGATTTATTATCTCATTGGTAACATAAAGCTTTGTTGCTATACATTTGGTAAACAGATGAATTTAAATTTTCAGCCTGTTTTCAGTCAAGCTGTGTCCAGCCTTGAGCTTAATTTTACATTAGTGTAACCTAAGCTGGTCTGATCTTGTCCTGTAATCAGTCCTAGAAAAGGTTGTTTCTTCCTTCACTCCTCACCTGTGACAGACAACTGTCCTTGATTTTTCTGGGTTTGACTTAACTTCTAGGCTAAAGTTTTTAAATAACTAAACACTTGTTTTTCAAATGATCGACAACAACCTGTTAATGTTGTTATATCTCCTCTGGCTTACTTTGTAAACAACTCCTTGTTGGTTTTTATGTTAGAAGCAAACTGTGAATGGCACCTTCAGCAGAGTGTGTATGACTTGGATTCTTGTGTCTTGCTGAAAGTCTGCAACAAATGGAAGTCATCCACTTTGGTGCCTAAGCTTCAACTACAAAGGCTTTGTTTCAGGGCAGAAAGCTGATCTGGTATCTTCTCTCCCTGGTTAAACACCACAAATCCTGCCTGCAGCATCAGTCACCTTATACCTACAAGCTCTTTCTTCAGGAATTAACAGAACTCAGCTGATGATAACCAAAGCTTCTACTTGGAGCATCTTCTCTAGTTTGGCTTGGCATGATTACTGCCTACCTGTCCTGGCAGGAGTCTGGTGGGATCTCAGACGATTCATGCCTACATCCCTGTGCAAGCAGTCAGCAGAGACTGCAGTTATGTGCCTGGATATTGCTGGCAGAGAGACACTGAAGTTGTTAGTCTCCCCTCACATCTACCCAAATAGGTAAAACCACGCTCTGGATTTGGTCCCATAGAACTAAGCTGGCACAACAGTAAGTGTAGACTTTGTTTGCAGTGAAAATTACAGCTGCAAGTGTACAAGTCAACGAAATTCCTTTGTTCACTGGACAGATTGCCAAAACAGATCTCACCCACAACTGTAAGCTTTATGATGTCCAGACTGGCAGATTAGCACTGCAGAGTGGGAAAACCTGGGTAAAACTGAGCTTTCTCTACCCAACCAGCAGCATCTAAAATGGGGGTGGGGTGAAATCAAAATGAAACCAAAAAATCCCACAAGCAAGAGTAATCACAACGGCAGAGTCTAGTTCAGAGGTAACAACACCACTGAAGTTCCAGCCAAGGCCGCTGTGAAGTCTTGACAGCATGGAGTTATTTTGAGGCTATGGAGAAATGCCTCTGTTTGGAGACTGGAGGAAAATATATCCTGTTTGCTTGGTTCTTTTTTTTTTTTTTTGCAGAGCTTACGTAGACCTATTCCAAAATGACTTCCTCAAGTGATTATGGGTCTCACTCCTGGGGTCTCACGTTGACGATTGATCATCCTCAGCCAGAGGTACCAAAGGAACTTCTATTACAGGTCACAGGGGACCTTCATATTGGAGGACTGATGCTGAAATTAGTAGAACAAATCCGTGAGTAAAGACCTGTTTAATTATTATTCTTATTAAAATAATATGTGCAGCTTTCCCTCTACAAAGAGAGGCTGGTGCCTCACCTCTGCATCGCGGCACACTGAGCGTGGAGGTGCTCATACTCAGGGTTTTACGTAGTCAGAACTCCTCCCTGCCTGTGACTAAAACCCCTGTGCTACCACAGTGCAAGCAAAGCTTTGGTTTTGCCTTCCAGCCAGACAAAAATAATTAGAACAGGTTAACTATTCGACTCCCTTTCCAGACAGATGTTAGGGGTGGGGAGTTTGGGGGGCAATAGAGGAAGTTGAGACTCTGTTTATCCACCTGTGGCAGTCAAGGAGGCAGAATTAGTTGTTAAAAGGCACTTCAGAAGTTACTGTTTCCTGTGCTGTTGTGGCATTCCATCTGCAATCTGAGCCACTTTACCCATTGCATATATCCAGCTGTGAAAAGCTGAGACTGACCAAGTCCAAGTTAGGAAATGAAAAGTAAAATACCCTGTGTAGAGTCACAGCAAGTAGAAAATGTGTGATAGACTTTTATCACCCTCTCTACATACTGACCCACGCAATTCAGCAGCAAACCAATGGTAGTTGGAGTTCCCACTGGGTCGGAAGACTAATTTTTCACAGTATTTTTATAAGTAGTACTCAACTGGTGTGAAAAGCTTTCTATATTAATATTTAAAGCAAATCTGACACTCTAGAGGTGCTTCCCAGGAGATTGTGGATGAACTTGTGCCCATCAGGGTGCACACAAGGTTCTGTGGGAGGACTTTCAGCTTGCACTGTCAAGTGGGGGTTCAAGTTGTGGGTACCCTTGTTGTTAGTCCCTATCCTACCACAGTCCAAGAAGCATTGGATCAGTTTCAGAAGATGCTCTTTCTCTATGGATATCTGCAAGATTAAGGCAGTGCCACAGTCAGCACCTGGGTTAATTCTTCAGGCAAAACAAAGTTAGATCCCAGTGACTGCCACTAGTATTCAGCAAATGAGGTCTAGGTCTTGGGAACTGTGTGGTTGCTGCTTTGAAGTAAATAAATATTCCTCTTTGCAGAAAACTCTTTCCAAACAAAGTTTTTTGTATATTTGCTCCATAGTTTATTAATAATCATTTTGTATTTTCCTAGAAATAGCACAAGATTGGTCAGACTATGCTTTTTGGTGGGAGCAAAAAAAGTGTTGGCTTCTGAAAACCCACTGGACACTGGATAAATGTGGGGTGCAGGCAGATGCTAAGCTGTTGTTTACCACTCAGCACAAAATGCTGCGTCTTCGCTTGCCAAACCTGAAGACCGTGAGACTGAAAGTCAGCTTCTCTTCCATGGTGTTCAGAGCTGTCAGTGACATCTGCAAAATGCTCAGTAAGTAAAGCTAAATCCCCTCTGGCAACTAAGTTGGAGCATTTTATTGGGAGACTTTGTTTTAATATGAAGTCCTTCCTCACAAAACTGTTTAGCTCAAGGAGAAATTTGAGTCAACCCAATGTAAAAAGACAGATTTTTTTCATGCTTAGTGTGCAGTGTATGTCAGTGATTCTCAGTTTCTGTGATAACTGATGCAAACACTGTCAGATGTGTCCCGTGAGCTGCAGGAGTCTTAAATACTCAAAGTCCTGTTGGTGGTTTTTAGGAATCCTTGTCCTCCTGGAGCAGAACTCAGTCCTGCTTATTCTATGCCTTTGACTAAGAGCTTGAGGTTTTCAACCTCACACCAAGCTTCACCACAGGCAATTTTACTGGTGTCAAGTGATTGATCACCTATTGGTTATATGTATTCACTTCAGAAGGGGCATGTTGTAAAAGTTCAAAACTTCTATATGCCCAAAGCTGTTCAGGTCAGAACATACCTAGCTACCCCACACCAGCCCATCAGTGTCCCCACTGAGGCCCCAGGTGTCTACTCTTTCCAACAATGAAGCACTTCCAGGTAGAGATGAGATTTTAGAACATGCCAGACATCTCTGTGGTCAACAAGAATCAGCTGAGTCCGTAAGCAGCCTTCAAAAATCCCTTAGTTTTAGGATACAATAGGAATTAAAATAGATCTTCAAAGCTTAGTCCATTAACACATTTATCTTCAGAAGTAATTTACTGCCTCACACTGACAACAATGCAGCTTTCAGTTTGATCTCCTAGCAGTGGATTGTGTAAGGTGTAGTATGTCTGTATTATACCTAATAGCTCTGAAGAAAAAGATGCTATAATTGCTCAACTGACATTTGGCCAAATTTTCTTGCTATGTTTTTCTTCCAGACTAAGTCAGTACCGGAACTCTACAACTTTACTCATGAGTGAATAATGTAAAAAATGTCTTTGCTTACCCCAGAATAAATGTGTGTTTCAGAAAACAAGTGCCAGTTTGCAGCTGAGAATACCTGTCTGAATCAGTAGTGCATTAGGGAATAGTGTAAAGCTGCGACAGAATCTCGTGACAAAGAGAAATACAGTGAATAATAAAAGGCATGAACTTCAAATACATAGATCTAATTCAGATATTTCACTGAGGTTATTATGCTCAAAGGTGATTACGCAGCCATTAGGGAGAAAGCTTTTTCCTGGTGTTCTAAAATGCAGTTATACTTCCTACAAAATCAAGTTTAAATCCTTTCAAAACTCCCTCTCACAGCCCAAAGTCTTTGGCCTTGTTAGAGATTTACTGTATTTGCCACAGCTACTGCTTTCAACCTGCTAAAAATAACATACAGATTGCAACATGAAGCTTCCTGAAATGCTCTTACCAACCATGGGCTGTGTTTGGATGTAATCTGCTAAGTTTCATCTTGCTTCACTTCCCAAATTGCCATTGTAGATATTAGGAGGTCAGAAGAACTCTCTTTGTTGAAGCAATCAGAAGGAACACTCAAAAAGAAAAAGAAAAAAGATAAGAACAGCAAAGAACCACTTACAGAAGATATTTTAAACCTGTGCGACTCTCCAGTGAGTTCTGGATTATCAGGTAATGAAAAAATCAATGGTTTTTTTCTTCCGACTCAAGGCCAAAAAGAGGAAGAAGCTCTTTGTTACACAAAACCAGAGAGACCAGTTTAATGCAGGATGATAGTCACAGAGACACAGCTGGCCTGAAACCAGTGGCTTCAAATCCCCAATATATCAATATTTTCCTGTCATCTGTATAAATGTTTCCCTTTCCATTGATATCAGAAAGGCCATACTAGAAAATAGGTGATGAGTTGTGGCCCTGCATATATGTGCTGCTGCTCTTTGAAAATCTGAGACCACACTTAAAATATTCATGAAATTTGGCAACCTGCAAGCATAATGAGAAACAAAGGCTTGAAAGTGTGTTTCCCATGTCCAGCACACTGAGCTGTCTCACAGAACAAGAGAGAGCACTTCTGTCCCTGAGGTGACCTCACCTGTGAAAGGACAAGGCCAGCTGGAAACAGTAGGGATAGGAGACTGTCTTGAAAGGAAGGGGTTAGTTTTTTTATGATGGAAAGTGGTAGGCAGGACCTAAGTCTGAAGGCGTTTTTCCCAGGAATAATACGTTATGCTCTTAACTTGCAGCAAATCCAGGTTTATATAGTAAAACCATGACACCAGTTTATGATCCTGTCAGTGGGTCACCAGCTTCTTCCACAATCACTTGGTTCAGTGACAGTCCCTTGGCTGAGCAGAACTGCAGCATCCTCGCCCTCAGTTATCCCAACTGTTCTCCAGAAACACTCGCCGAGATGTACCAGCCGCGGAGTTTGGCCGACAAAGCCAAACTCAACGCAGGGTAAGGTCCCTCTCCGGGAGGGCTTTTTCTTTCAAAATCATGAGTGATGCAGTTGTGCAGACTCTGGACTAAATTCAGTTGAGCACTGTGGGCACAGCTAAAGGACAGTTTGGATAGCAAACTCCAAAGGCTTTAACTGGACAGTAGAAATAGGCATGTGGATAATTTCAGTCAAGCTCCAAAGCATTACAAATAGGTGACTGAGTTCTGCACAAGTAAACATTGCTTACTGTCCACCACAGGAGAACATAAAACACTTGGGTCTTTGGTAGTGCAAGTGTGTGAGAGCATTGTCTCTCTGGCATTAAAATATCAATTGTCATTCTTAGATTTGTGGAACATTTAACTGTGACTTGGATATTTTCATCCACAAGGACACTCTACGTTCTTGACTTATCTGCATTTTCCCCAGACTTGCAGGAACTAGAGGTGTTTGTTCCCACTTTTGTTTCACAATTGCATTGGAGCTCTGCAGGTGTGATGGTTTTTCCTGTGGGTTGTTTGCTTCCACAGCTGGCTGGATTCCTCTCGGTCACTTATGGAACAAGGCATTCTGGAGGAAGATCAGCTTCTTCTGCGCTTTAAATATTACACTTTCTTTGATTTGAATCCAAAAGTAAGAGCTTTGTTTTCATTGCAATTCGTTGTTTGCCTGCTTTCATGTCAAGGAGCTATAGAGTAATACGGAATATGTATAACCATATATAGGACTTTAGCTGGGATTTGTTACAGGCCCTTCAGAGATCAAATCCAGCTTCTTCCCCTCAGCTATGGCTGCACTTTTACCCTCTGGACACTGAATCACTGTTCCTCACCTGAAATAAGATCTTAAGCACAAAGATGACGTCTGAAGACCACCAGAAACAGTATCCAGATTTCCAGAGGGGTTGGTTTACTTCCTGCCTCTCTTTTAACAAGAAAAATTAAGGAAAAAACTAGACCAACAGTATTCTAAATGATATAATGGTATACGCCCTGGTTTTGAAAATGAACTTATAAATTATATATGTTCCACTGCCCTCACTGTATCTCACAACTTTTCTGAAGCAATCAGGGCACCTTCTAGTTCATGTGGCATGTTTTTGGGTGAAATGCTATCCCACTAAAATTCAAGTACGTGTCTCAACTTCAGTAGCCCAAACATTTCCCCTCTTTGCCCCAGCCAGTCATAGGATGAAACAACCCAAAAGAGCTTCAGGCAACTTAATATCTCACCTCTGCTGGAAGAGGTCACACCCCAAGGTTTATCCTCCCATCACCTACATTTCAGCAGCTCTGGGGATTGAATATTTTTGTGAGTCACATCAGCTTATTAAACAAGTAGATAATAAGAAACAGTCATTATTCAAAAAATGGATAGTGAATTAAAGCAGCTCACAACAGGATCTGATGAATGTCAAGGCAGAGCAGAGAGAAGCAGAACTAAAAAAGCCAAGAGCGCAGAGGGGAAGTGAGGAATAAGAGTTTTGCATGTCACACTTGTATCAGCCATGTCACATTATTTTTACTCTCACAGTGTGGTTTCACATTTCTGTTACGCCCGTCCAAGGCTACTGCCTCAAAAGGACATGTCTTAACCTCCCCTTCTGCCTCAGCTAAGGACTCACGATTCATTTTCTGTTGGTTTAGCAAGCTGTGGTGACTGTGCAAGGATGGGAACAAGGCAGAGGTGGGAGGAGGAAGGAAATAACCCTTATGGCTTCAGCCCAGAATTAGATCAGCTGCAGCTGATAGTGAATCTGTATCGTGATGGTCATTAATGACCAATGTTGTTCTTTTTCGCTCCAGTACGATGCAGTGAGAATCAACCAAATCTATGAACAAGCACGTTGGGCCATTCTGCTGGAAGAAATTGACTGCACAGAGGAAGAAATGCTGATCTTTGCTGCGCTGCAGGCAAGTACTTGATCCAAGTTGCAAAACCTGTTTCCTCAAGAGGCAGGCACAAGCTAGGACAAGACTGGGATACAGCCCAGGCCAATAGCTATGCTTGGACTGGGGGTCTGTATCCATCAGCTGAACCAACTAAACGCAGGAGCAGCAGTAACACCGTTATTCCAAGTGATACGTACAAGAATGGAACCTTTCACTAACATTATCTAAAGCAAGTCGCACCCAGGATGTAACTTTGATATCAGAGGATTAGGATGAAGTGTTGCTTCCCATACCAGCTACCATCCTGTCACCTCTTCTTCCTGAAAATTTCTGTGACACATACATTCACAATAGACAGAAAAAGAGCTACAGCACAGTGTAAAGCTAGGGACACTGTGGACTACATGGAAATTTAACATGACCAAGCATAGCTTAGTCCCTGACTGTAGGTAATAAGGCACAAACATTTATTAATGATAAATTCATTCGTTTTAGATGTAAATGGAGCTGCCAAAAATTCACAGCCTGCCACTGCAGAACACCAGAGAACCTTGCTGCCAAGTTTCCAGCTGGCATGGATGGCACTTATAGCTGGCAGGACTGGGAATTCAAATGTAGCACCAAGTCAGCCCCACAGAACAGGGACAATTATACAGTGAAAGAATACAAACGCAATTAAAATAGGAAACTGTTACCAGCACTGGAGGTCATGGTGGACATGCCTGTTTCCTTGTGAAAATCCCATGGTTCTGTGCTTCACACAGTTGTCCAAGACCCAGAAGACCAAATGGTCCTTTTCATATGCTGTGATTGTGTGTAGCTAATTGGTACACTGACTATTGGGTACTGATGTTTTCTTTTAGTATCATGTAAGCAAGTTGTCATTGTCATCAGAAGCACAAGACATGACCTGCGAATCAGAAGTAGATGAAGTAGAAGCTGCGCTTTCTAATCTGGAAGTGACACTGGAAGGTGGAAAAGCAAGTAAAGTTTTGGTATGTCCTTTGGGATCCCTGAATTGTTTTCACTGTGTCAAATGTATTTACTTTGAGCCTACCTGGTTCTTGATTATTATTTTTTTAACAGATGATTACACAGTGCATTGTACTAAAATTATTCCTAATTATTCCTGACAGGAGGACATCACAGACATCCCAAAACTTGCTGATAATCTCAAGCTAGTTAGGTGAGTTGGTAAAATTAACAATAAAACATATAAAACAAAAAGCTTAACCTTACAGGAGATCTCTTGAGTTTTTCATTCTAATCTAACAGTAGATCCTATGGTTATAATTTAACAAATACCCCAGAGAGGTCTAACCAGCCTAATATCATCCTCTTCAAATTTTTCTCTTGCTGCTTCTGACCAAGTTTCTCTGGAAATCTTTCCAGCTCTTAGGGTGCCACAGTAGGTGTACTTACACTTACTAAAAGACACAGCCCTTTACATTTCCTAGTGCTCATCAATCATCATCTCTCAGCATAAGTGCCTACAGTTTTGTTTTCAATCATATTTACCATTTTTCACCAGTGAAAAACCAGAAGAAACTTGCAGTTCTCCCTGAGAAGACTATCTGACAGCAGCCCTGGGGAACGTATTTTTTTAAACAAAAGAAACAACCGAATTACCCATTTCTGCCCAAACATGGATTCTGTTTTTTCTGATAACAAAACGAGTTTCTGTGATCCCGCTATAATATCTTGATTTATGGGTGATATAAATGACTGTAGAGACCTTGAGTCTGTAATGCCTTTTATCATAAAACAGCCTTTGTGTTTTAGAAAGATAAAATTTCCTGTTGCACAAATATTTATCAGATTCATTCCATTGACAGATGGTATTTAGTAGTCAGGGAACTGAAAATTGCACCTGAAAAATTCTAACTGTTGTTAACTGTTAAGAATTGTTAATTATTAATTCCCAATTAGGAATTTTATTTGACATTCAAATTACTAAGGTGGCTTAAGATGAAAGGGAATTTAAGCCTCTAACAATGGATTGTTTGTTTTCCCCCAGCAGTAGAGCAGTTTGCTTTTAAAATCATTCAGTGGTTATTTTTCAGCATGAAAAAGTTCCTGCACACATGATAAATCACTTACTAAACCCAAGACACTGTAGAGACTAGGTAAGGTGTAAAACATTTCTTTAAAGGAACCACATTTTGCTTAATTGTAAACCTGAATGCAAAGCTCATGTCCTACTGCTGGCTGTTCACACGGAGAACTTTTATTCCTATTTATTCACAGTGTGCACTGTCAGCACACTAATAAATGCTGCTTTCAGGAGGGTGACAATTATGTGGAGAACTACAAATTATTTTTTTTCAAAAATTACAAAAAGCTTTCAAAAAAGTTTTCAGCCACTATTTTTTGGCTAGAAAAGTAATTGTCTGCCTAAAAAAATTACAGTCCCTTATTTTTGAAGAATGACGCTGTATTGGAAAATCAAAAGCCCAGTTATTCAGCAGTTTTGAAAATGCAAGGTTTTTTAAATTTAAACATAAGAATTGCCATGTTGTAGAAAGGATTCTAAGCTAGGATTTCTAGAAGGCAAGAGTATGTATATAAATCACTGTTTTCCATCTAGCTCTATAGCCTTTGTACCATCATCTTAAATTTAAAGTGAAGGACTGAATTATTTTTTTTCTTCTTTGTAACTTCGTTGTTGACCTTGGTTGCTAGTTGTGAAGTATTTCTCTACTGAACTAGTGCTGATACCTCTAGTTTTCTCTCCTGGAGTGCTACAGAACCTCTATAATTAGTGAAGGAGTAGAATTTTGTTGTGTTACATATTGTTCAGATAAAGCCAAAAAGATCTTTACTCCCTTACAGTTTAACAGATACAAGTCGGTTTCATGGGTGCAAACACTCTAGATAAGGAGGTTTGGAAAACTGGCACCAATTCTAGTGCCTGTGAACAAACCTGGAATTTGGGATCAACTGTAATATATGTGAGTGACTTAGCAATTTGTACATGTGGATAGAAATAAATGTGATTTCTTTATTTCTTGTAGGCCCAAGAAGCTGGCACTCAAAGCCATCAAATCATACTGGTTTGTCTTTAGAGACACTTCAATATCTTATTTTAAAAACCAGGAATCTGCACAGGGAGAACCCATTGAAAAACTAAACCTAAAAGGTAGGAATTTTTCTTTCTTTCCTTTTTCTTTTGCATTTGTAAACTGAATAGATCAAGAAATCCCTGCCAGACTCAGGAAGGCAAGCACAACAGCATTTATTGTTGGAGCTTTCAGTTCCTGAGACTCCTAAGCACTCCATACCTGCAGGAGAGGCCTAAAAAAAAAATTGATAGCTTAGTCCAAAACAAGATCATCTGAGCCTGATTTGTAAAACACCATGTACTGCTGAATTCCTAAAGATGAGTCAGATGGAGAACGTGACCTGTGGGATACTTTTATTTCCCAAAGTTTTTGCTCTGTTAAATGGTAGTGTTCACCTCTGTCCTTAGAAAACGCACACGTAGCAGAGGATTATGGATGATGCAGTGGGCAGGA